TGGTAGAGTCTCCAGTTCTTTTAGAATAGCTTCAGTGTAGCAGTTGAGCAGATCTGGAGAAAAGATACATCACCGTTTTTAATAGTTAACTACATTAAAATAACAGAAACAGGTTTTATGATAGGTCACATTTAACATTATTATAGTTATCAAAATAATTAATGCAGAGTATGTAAATAGTGTCTAATGTTATTGTCTGTCTGTCAAAGAAACAATGTCACATTGCAAAAGAAAAAGACTTTGAATTTCTGGAATCAGGAGATATTTAAATTAATAAACAATAAGTTTGAAGACATTAGTCTGAATGAAAATGATCATCAAAAATTTAAATGCACTGTCAATCGTCATTTTTGGTCTTTTTGAACACAGTCCTTTTATCATACCATTTCTTTCACTCTTAGTAACCCTTTGCATATTAATAGCTCTTAGTGCCCTGTTTGGGATGAAATGATTAAAAAAATAAAATAAACAAAAATAATGTAAATAAGAAAAAGACCATTTAAATAAATTAAAACTGAATCAATTCCCTTCAAAATGCAATAAGATTTGAAAATAGATAACTGCACTCAGATAATATTTTTGCTTTTTGTTTGGCTATGAAACGACTTTTGCTGTTAGAAGGCATGAGAAGCATTTTTTTTCTATCATATCAGCGTGCATTTAAAAAAAAAAAAAAAAAAAAAAATTAGCATATATTAATTTGTTTCTAACATTTTTTCTTTTATTTTACAAAAGGTTAAAAATCTGACTGAAAACAATATTTGTGAGTTTATGTAGAAGGAACTGTAAATGATCAAACATCAAAAGTGGTTTGCAAAATTTATGCTGAAGGTTTGGTGAAGAATATTCCGGTCAGGTAGGCCAGTTGAGCATAATATCAACGAAGATATTACATGAAAACAATCGACATGATTCAGAATACAATTAACAGTTAAAATATCCAAATGGAGTGTTGAAAATCATTTATATAAGCTTGTTTATATTTGACATGTAGCTTCAATCATTAAAAAAAAGAAATTAAATTAACTGTATTTATGCATGACTTGCTATTAAAATTAATGACAATTTTTGATTTTTAAAAAAATGGATTATGATAAGCAATAAAATAGATATTGATCAATAAAATGGAATACAAAAGATCATGGGGTTCAGTGAAAAGAACCACTGCTAACTGTACCAAAGGATGAGCTTCATTAAAAGAAAGTGATGTTAGACTTGTACTTATTTTTAATTTTTTCTATAAGCCCAAGTGATTAATCTGAATGAGTACTGTTCCCAGTCAATCAGACCAACTGAAGGCCCTAAATGTTGAAAAACATCTGGAATTAGGTAAGATAAAGTATATATATATATATATATATAAAAACAATAACAAAGATTGAACTGACAACAAATCGTTAACCAAAGTAATTTTTGAAGATAATATTTTGGAAGAAGCAGTTTTTGTCATTGCAGTGCTTAATATCAAATTGAGCATTATTAATAATAATTATCAATGTGTATTTATATATTTCCTGTCACAGGAAGAGAGGTAAATCAACTGAAGTTAGTAAATTTATGAATGATTACTTGCTTTAGTCATTTTAATAATCTATACAATTGTCTGCATTTAGACTAAATTAATTCTCAAGCAAAATGAAAATTAATTCCTTATTCCTCGATTTCTTAGATTGCAGTCTTATATGTTCAAGTCTTTCATGTGAGGCACTCAAATACTTTTATCTATTAGGTGATTGACTTGGTCTTGAAATAGGCTTTGTTGTTGTCATCTTTGTTGTTCTGTTGATAATCTTTTTCTTTTGAGAAATAATTTCATTTCACAGTCATATTAAACATGTAAAATTTTTTAACATGAAGAGATATTGAACAAAAAGATTTACATAATACCAGGAGAAATCAAGGAATCATAAGTACTATTGAACATATAAAAAACAAAGGGAACAGATTAATTAAATAATTAATTAATTAAATAGTTCATTGGCTTCTATTTTAGTTGGGAATTCTTCATCTTCACTTTATTGAATCTCAATAGATTGTTTCAAGATTTTTGTTTCATTGCATCTCACCATCAAAACTTTCTAATAATTGCCATAATTTTTGAAAGAACAGGTACACTAGTAATAATGAGTGAACACATTTCATTTATTACACACACAAAATCCTTGGAAGACTGAAAAAGGCATTTACAGCAATTCTTTTTTGAGAAAGACAAAATGTTTTTGGAGGTTGTAATCATGAAGTTTCCTCTAAGATGGCCAGAAATAGTGAAATAACTGTAAATATTCAATAAAGTTAATTTGAAAAACTGCAAATTTGTCTTATTTTTATCCAATGCGAAGGAGTGGCATTGTCTTACAGCAGGATAACACTCTTATACAAACATCCTGGAATCTTGACAAGCAACTGTGTCTATCCAGCGTTTCACAGCACCCAATTGCATTAATTGTCTATGTAGTGTGTAGTCAGCAACCACATATTTTGTATCCTAGAAGGAAATTGCCACCAATTTTTCTTCCATGACAGAAAAGAGTGACTCCAATGATATGAGTGGGATGTTTCATTGCATAGGCCCAACTTTGCACTTTCAGATCAGATTATCATCTATTTAGGTCTCTCAAACTATATTTATCTATAAAGTGGCCATACACAAAGATTTTACTCTCATTTGATGGCATCTACTTTGAGACAGTATTTATACATTCACACACTAATGATAAAAATGCATCAATCTCAATGGTTCAACACAGATGACATTGTGTAGAGGTGCTCTAGTCATTTAATATCATTTTCTCTAAGGAAAACTAGTGGGGCAGTGCTAGTATAGGAACCATGTTTTATTTGCATATTACTATAAATTAGTAATTAGCTGTTGTTACTGAGGTATATGGATAGATCCAATCAATTGACATGACATTCTTTGAGAAGTGTCTTTATCCGTTTGTGCACTGATGAGACAAATGTATCAATCTCAATGGAAATTACCTTGGAAGCTAGCAGAGTAGTGCTAGTAACATAGGTACCATGTTTTACTTGTGTAGTAATAAACATGTTGGATTAGTAAACATCTGTAACTTACTTTTTAGATATCCTTTGGAGATGTAGAATTTTTAGCACCTTAAATTAACCGGTCCTCTAAGAAAAAAGGGAATTTTTTTTTTTTTTTTGGTGAAAGAAAAAATATTAGACTGTCCTCAAGCCACAACTGTCAGAATGAAAAAAATATTGATTTTTATAATTTTAGTAAGGGACCCATTTAGGAGGCATGGTGGAGTAATGAATGGGGGCTTGGATTGAGGAATCGGAGAGCCAAGTTCGAAATCCAGTCAAATCCATTACATTTATGTGCTAATACCCTTGGGAAAGGTTATGAATCCTCTTCTCCCCCCAGCTATGGGTAAATAGCAGGACAGACCGGGTTCTATAGCATCTGCCTCGTCAGTCATGTATCTTTCGATAAATGATGATCTAAGCAAGTATCATGCATAGCACATAACTGACTGAAGGGACCCATTTATAATAACAATGTCAAATCAATCAGACTTTATCTGTACTTTTTATTTACAAATGTCATGTTTGAAACTGTACATATCATTGATAGCTGCATATAATGTGCTTTTTCTCAGTTCATAACAATATACAGTTATGAATAAAATAACCTATTTCAAACTTTACATTTGTAAATGATTTGTTTTTGTTTTTATGGCTAAACTTTGTGGGTTATTTAAAATTTGGATTGCAAGAATAATGTTTTTTTTAATGAGTGAATATGACATTAACAATAAGTTTTTGAGATAATGATTTTTCCAGATACAAGTCCTACTGTTTAACCCATAGCTGGGGGAAAAGAAATGTATTCATGCCTTTCACAAGGGTATTTCCATGTAAGCTAATGTAACAAACGACATAAATGTCAGCAGATACATGTATTTCACAGAAATTTGAACTCATTTCTCCAATTTCTCATTCCAAATGAGAATCTGTATCTAATGACATTTGTAAATAAAGACAAAGTATAGATAATTCTTTAAGTTAGGGGTCAATCTGACACTATATATGAATTGGCCCTTCCTTGTAAATGATAAAAAAAAGTAAAAAAAAGAAAAAGAAAAACTTGATTCTGAAAAAATGTCATAGCTTGAGAAAGATCTAATGCTAATCTACAAAAATTGCAAGAAAAAAAAATAAAAAAATAATCTTGATTCTGAAAAATGTGTCTTCAGAAAGATCTAATAAATGTTAATCTACAAAAATTGTGAGAAAAAATACAAACAATTTTGATTCTGAACAATGTCATGTCTTCAGAAAGATGTAATAAATGTTAATCTACAAAGATTGTGAGAAAAAAAATAAAATAAAATCATCCCTATTTTTATTTTTAATGAGAAAATTGGACAATGCAAGTGTTGGGTCAACCGATGGTATAGTTTTCAGGTACAGATACATTCCAAAATGTTGCAGGATGGGATCATCTCCCTCAGACCGATAACATCAAGTCACATTCCTGACAAATAGACCATATTAAGATACACACAATGGTTGAATAATATATATAATGGAAACGTGTTTGAATAAACATATAAAAAACAAAAAACTAATACAGGTAAATATATGTCTAACAGCTTGTGTATTTGAAAGTCTTAAAGAAAACATGCCTTCTAGTGAGTTTGATCTGGTATCCTCCTTGTAGGGAAAAACCAATGTTAAGAGTGATACACTTTCCCATTCATGCAAAGTTCAGTTACCCTATTAAAGTAATGCACATCTCTTAATGCCTACATCTAATTTTTATTTTTAATTTGAAACAAACCAATAATTTCCAAAGAATGGGTTTTTATTCAGAATGCAACTTTATTTCTTATTCATTTAAAAGGTTGTATATAGTGGATATATGTATTTAACCTTTAAAATAAATATTGTTTGACTGATTTTTTTTTTTTTTTTTACAACTTATTACCACAAATTACCTTTGTGGGTTTTTTAAAAGCTGAAACAGGAGGCTGCTTACAGCACCTGGTATTCCCAAGTGGTCTCCATCTAAGTACTGATCAGGCACGACATTGCTTAATTTCAGTGATCGAATGAGAAGTGGTGTTTTAAAAATAAAGTGATTAATTAAATAAGCAAACACAAAATAATAAATACATAAAAATATCAACTCAAATGGCAAATGTAGAATGTTGTTTTTCAACAAACATGCTGGCACCTTGGCTTGAAATCTCTGACTACTACTACTAGTTCTCTCAACAGGTATGTGTGGGAGGGAGAGGAGGCAGGGCAACCGTAAAGTATAGTCTATCTGCTAATGTTTATAATAAGCTCCTCCAAATTTTACTTATCAAGCCAGTGATCTTTTGGGCAGTGAAAGGTAAGATTTGTATACAAAACAATTTTTAAATATTTTTCTTTTACTTGTACCATCATAAGTGTTTAATATATATATATATATATATATATATATATATATATATATATATATATATTTTCAAGAGGATATAATCCAGGTAGAGCTCTATGTCAGAAGCAAGAACAAGAATATAATATAAAAGGCTTGAACACTAATAGTTCATGGTTATGATTTATTTCATTGAGTTTATATTAACAAACTCCTACAAATAAATAGATAAATAAACAAACAAACAAATGGTCAATATATATAAAAATCGTTAAATTTTACTACTACAATTTACTGATCATAATATTTCCTTGTCCAATATATTCACATTTAAAGAATCTCACAGAACTGGTTTTGATATTTTTGGCGAGTTAGTTGAAAGATGGGTATCTATTGCAGCCCCCCCCCGTCCCCACCCTAACAAAACCCGAGAGTAGGAAAGAAAGAAAAACAAATGCCCGATGTAGAAAGCTGTTCTCAACAACCAGGCTAACACTGACTTGAAATCCCCGACTACTAGTCCTCCAGATGTCCCAATAGGTATATAGGTGTGTGTGTGGGGGGGTCCAGCCATAATGCATAGTCTATCCACTATTGTCTCCAATAAGAATTTTTACTTATTAGGCCAAAATATTAAGTCACTTAGCATTCTCCATAATTTACCTTCCTTATGCATTAAGTTTCCTAATTTAAAAACATAACATTTTATTTTCCTCAAAATTCAAGAACTCTTATTAGAGAAAAATATGTGCTCTCAAGAGTCAGAGAAAAAAGTTGTGCTTAAAAGGCACTATTCAACTTTGCTTGGTCATCGATGTACTCTGTAGCCAAAAGGTCAAAGCATGTCAGACCTAATGACTGTTTCCCCTAGAACACAGGTTCCAATCCTGCCAGAGAGCACATATATTTTTAATAAGATTCCTCACATATTCAGGCCAGTAGATGATAATAAACATACTGTTTAATGAATAAATGAAGCATCTACTCAAATATGAGTATCTACTAAAAACAATGTGGATTTATATATATATATATATATATATATATATTAGGATAAAGAACAAATTGGAAACAGATCTCAATCTAACAGGTTTCACTTATTAAAGCTTCATCAGAGATAAAAATAAAAATGAAAAAAGCAAAGAGATACAGATTAATGGTATGTTGTTTGATTATTTCTTATAGATTAAATATGTGTCATGTGTAATGAAATAACAGATAATATTCAAATATGTGTGAGAAACATTTTGGATGTGTAAAAGTGAGACACAGCAGGATGTTTTTAAAAATTTTTTGGTTTGATTATTCATTAAAGTAGATCTCGTGTATATTTTGTATATATCTTCATTGATTTTTATGTATTAGAAAGAGATAACTTAGATTTTAAATGTGTGTTGATAGTTGGAAGTATTGCTATGTTTTCATAATAATTTCTCTTTAAAGGGTTATGTTCTTTTTTAATAACATTTGTATTGGTGAAATTAATGTTATATTCCACATTGTTGTGGTATAAGACAAGAGAGTTTGAATGTCTATCTAATTGCAAGCCTATTTTGTGTTCCTGGATGACAGTTTTTAGATTATATGATGTCACCCCAATATACATGTTACTGCACTGTGGACATTTGATTTGATACACTCCAGAATTTGAATTGGTTTTTGTTTTATTTTTCATCCTGATTATATTTTTTTTGTCATTTTTTATCTTGATCTCTGACTAACCTTTAATAAAGTGAAACATGTTAGATTGAGATCCGTTTCCTATTTGTTCTTTATTCTATCATTTTGTTAGATTCTTATCCATACTTGGTATGTATATGGGGAAACCAATATATAAATTTTTACATTGGAAGAACAATTTTAGTGAAATGATGAAATGGAAAAGTTTTTGTCTGATGCATATTATCATTTAAAACTTCATCGAACTAAAGTGATATTGATGCAACTAAACATGTGGATGAAAGAAAGGGGATGCAGAAAATTTTAAATCTAAACTTAAATTTTTTTTTTTTTTTTAAAATGTGTTTTGGGTACATAATCAAGCTAATTTATCTATTTTTTTTTTTTTCACTTTTGTTATTAAATATCCCGCATTGTGATAGAAAATCTGTCAAGAAAGGTAAAATGTTGTAAGAACCTAGATATAAATTTACTGTGGATGACAGACATAATTTCTATAACAGAACAAAGTTAGAAAATTGAATGACAAGATGGTAAAATTCTGTGTAATGTATTTCATCCTCTAGAATAACTTAATCAGACTAAAGTAATGTTTTTTATTGATGGCATTATAAATAAATAAATAAATAAATAAATAAATAAATAAATAAATATATATATATATATATATATATATATATATATAGCAAATGAATGACAGTGGAATGTAACATGTTTTGTCCTCAAGAACTTCAAACTAAAGTAATGTTTTAGTTGACGGAATTATGTGTGTGTGGGAGGGAGAAATATAAAAATGTAAACATTACTCCTCCTCCTCCACACAATTCCATAAAAAAAAAAATTACTTTAGTTAAATGAAGTCCTTTTAGAGGATGAAACGAATTACACAGAATTTTTCCCACTTTGTCATCTGTTTGTCTAACACAGTTCCGATACACACACACATATATCACCCCCCACTCACTTACAGACTATCCTTTTTTTTCACTTCACACAACATTCCCAGCTTAGTCAGTGGTTCAACAAGTTAATGATTTATTAAAAAATTAAAGCCAAAACTGTAATCTTACTTTTATGCTAGAATTTAAACAGTTTAGCTGTAAAGTCATAAAAGTGAGAGGAAAACACTTTGATGGCTGAATAATGATGCTATGAATTTTTAGCAACTTGACACTGCTTTTTCTATAAATTACTTTTAGAAAAATTACATTGCAGACAGAAAGTGATAATACCAATTCTTTGAGACTGAGAAATAGGTGTGTACCACATTTCATACAGTAGTTAACTAGTATAAACAAACAGACTTCTTTATATGCTGTATTCCCTCAAGATATATTTGATTATGGCTCACCACAATTTCCTGTCCTTTGTAGCTCCTAATAAATATTGTCTTTGTTATTTCTCCTAAAACCTGTTCTACCATCCATTTACTTAAGCCTATCAAATATGTTATGTGCTGTTTTCCCCTGTCCCTCTTGCCTCCAATCTGTCCTGTGAGTATCAGATTTTCCAAGCCCTCATAGACTTCAACCGGTAAGGCTCAGTACAAACTGTCTCAGGTAAATCAATAAAATCTATTGAATCTTTTACATACCTACAAAGTAAAATAAATTCTACTGAAAAGGATGTAAAAATTCACATAGAATGGTTCGCACGAACCACCTTGAATAAAATGGATATAATATGGAAATCTGATCTATCAGACAACCTCAAGTGGAGATTCTTTTGAGCCACCGTAGAAAGGGTGTTAGTGTATGGTACCACGGCTTGGACATTAACTAAAACCTTACAGTCTAAGCTTAATGGAACCTACACTGAAATGCTGAGATCTATACTTCTCCTGGAGACAACATCCAACTGAATCACAACTCTAGGCACCCCATCACTATTTCTACAATCTTATGCAAACACAGAATGCACTTTGCAGGACACTACTGGTGAGCAAAACAAGAACAAATGGGTGATCTACTATTCTGGAGGCCTAGTTATGGAGCCAGATGGGTTAGTAGCCCAGCAACCCCCTACCAGCAAAGTTATGACACAGAATGTCACACTAATGACTGACCTTGATGCAGGACTATGATGATTGGTATGATAGACTCATGAATGTCTGAGATTGTCCGAGTGAATAATAACATTACCTTGACTTGATTCCACCACAAGGGTTGATGAATACTTTTCAATATCCCTCCATCAATTCTAAGGAAAGGTTAATTTTTCTGTTGTATTCTTTGCCACAACTATATATGTGTACTCCATCCGATGCAATTACAACAAGGAATACAATCTTACACGAATGCACTTTTCAGGACACTGAACTTGCGAGTGATCTACTGCTCGGGACACTTAGCCATGGAGCAACATGTGCAACCACCTACATTAACCAGCTATGTTATGACACAGATGTCATACTAATGACCTTCTGACTTTGATGTAGTACTATGATGGTTGGCATGATAGACTCATGATTGTCCAAGTTAATTTGTTTGAATAAAATAATAATAAATTACATCACCTAGGGGTTGGCGGGATTAATTTAAATTCCAGAGAGGACAATAGATGAACATAAACAAAAGTATAAAATTAGTACTTGTTATGCCCAATCCCTGATGATTTATTTTTTTTTTTATATCAATGTTCACACTGCATAGTCCTTAAAGTGCTATGTACAGTGAGATGCACTAATAAATGGTGCTAGGTACCCTTAGAGAAAGGTACATATTGAGAGAGCAGATGTCATTAAGGAAGCTCCATTACTTTGGATATTATGTGATTATGTGGCATCATTAAGGATATTCTATTTGAACCAGTGGCGGATAATTGGCACCAGGGATGAGCACATGTATCTTGGTTTAAGGATATTAAGAGGTGAAATGGAATGATGGTGGCTGAGGCTATAAGTGCAGCATCAGGCAGAAAGAGATAGTGAGGAGTGGTGACCATAGCAGTACAAAATGTGTTAAGTGAATAAATGTTTGCCCAATATAATACTCAAGAGACACTTAAGTAGAGGGTTATTGTGTG